TTTCCTACTCCACAAATTATACTGACATCAAATATAGTGAAACATCAACAAATTGGAGAAATCTGAAATCAAGAATTTAATGACACTTCTAAACCTCCTTGAAAAAGAGTAGCAAGATAAACCCCAATCCAGTAGATGGAAAGAAATAATTAAAATCAAGTCAGAATTAAATGAATTAGAATCCAAAAAAACTATAGAAAAAAATCAACAAAACAAAGAGTTGGTTCTTCGAAAAAAATTAACAAAATTCACAGACCCTTAGCAAATCTTATCAGAAAAAGAAGAGAACACACTCAAATAAATAAACTCAGAGATGAGAATGGAAACATCACCACGGAAACAACCAAGATTCAAACATTATACGGAAATACTTCTCAAAACTTTATGCTAATAAGTTTGAGAACTTGGCAAAAATGGACCTTTTCCTAGCAAATATTGACATGCCAAAACTAAACCAAGATGAGTTAAATCATCTTAACAGGCCCATATCAAGCCTTGAAATAGAAATAGCAATAAGAGACCTCCCATCCAAGAAAAGCCCAGGACCAGATGGTTTTACAGCAGAATTCTACAAGGCCTTCAAAGCAGAACTCACACCAATACTCTTCCAACTCTTCAATGAAATTGAAAGAGAAAGTTCAATACTGAACACATTCTATGAAGCCATCATAACCCTCATCCCAAAACCAGGCAGGGACTCATCAAAGAAAGAGAACTATAGACCCATTTCTTTGATGAACATTGATGCAAAACTTCTCAACAAAATTTTGGCCAATCGACTTCAACAATTCATCCAAAATATTATACACCACGATCAAACAGGATTCATTTCAGGGATGCAAAGCTGGTTCAATATACGCAAATCAATTAATATTATTCATCACATCAACAGGAACAAGGATGAGAACCACATGGTTATCTCAAAGATGCATAAAAAGCATTCGACATAATCCAACACTCCTTTATCATGAAGGTTTTGGAAAAATTAGGAATCCATGGAGCATTCCTCAATACAATAAAGGCTGTATATGACAAACCTACAACCAGCATTATACTTAATGGTGAAAAACTAAAGCCATTTCCTCTTAACTCAGGAACAAGACAAGGATGTCCACTCTCTCCACTTCTCTTCAGTCTGGTATTAGAATGCCTAGCTACAAGATGCAAACATAAAGGGGATCCAAATAGGGAAAGAAGAATAAGGATCTCTGTCTTTGCAGATGACATGATCTTGTATTTAAAGAATCCCATAGACTCCACTCCCAAATTACTCAAGCTGATTCAAAACTTTGGCAAAGTAGCAGGGTATAAAATTTTCCCCTCCAAGTCAATGGCTTTTCTGTATGCCAACAATGAGAAAAGTGTGGCTGAAATTAGGAAAGCAACTTCATTTGTAATAGCCCCACAAAAAAATAAAATACCTAGGAATTAACTTCACCAAAGAAGTGAAGGACCTCTATGATGAAAACTTTAAAAACCTGAAAATCAAAACAGAACTTAGAAAATGGGAAATCTTCCCATGCTCCTGGATTGAAAATATTAACATCGTGAAAATGGCAATACTTCCCAAGGCTATCTCATGTATTTTAATTTGACAGTTTGTTCTATGTTGAGCGTGCAACATTATTGCTATATTGTTTGTTATCATTTCTACAAACAGGCAGGTTTATTGAAAGTATTAAGTTCATCTTATCCATTACTGAAAGAAGAACTCTAAAAGAGCAACCCCTACTGTGAAGAACAACTCCCACTTAATTACCTTCATTCCTATGTAAGGCCAGTGTTGTCCCCTGTATCCTCATATTGTACATTTCAACTCTATACCTCATACTCTATATCTAGTATCTTCTACATTGTCAACTAAATGCCCCAGAAGTTCCACTTTGCTTTACTTTTTAAAAAAAATTCTGTCTTAATATTTGAGGTTGGAACGTGTGTGTGTGTCTTTGTGTGTGTGTGTGTGTGCACGCGTGTTTACACAGCTCAGAACACAACATTTTTCTTCATTTCGAATGCATCTTTCAGGTCGTTGTAAGTTGTGGCTAATGGGAGCAGTCCCTTGTTATTTTAAAAATGAAACAGAAAAAGATATTTGTGCATGTACCACAGTTGTTTTATTAGTCTGTAGTTGAACACTGAACATTGACTTATATCTTGGCTGCTCTTGTGAATAATGTGAATAAAAATGAACTACAGATATATTTACGAGTAACTCAGAGAGAAATAATCACATGATTGATGGGTCAGATGATATCTCAACTTTGGATTTCTTTAGAAACTTGCATACTACTTTCTACAACGAGAATACTAACCTGTTTTTGGACCAATAGTGTAGAAAATTTCCTTTTTCCCACACTCTCACCAACATTATTACCTTTTAATCAAAGGTAATAAAGGGCAGGTTTTTACTACCTGCAGTACCCTATACTGGCCTTAACTTAAATCCAGCCTCTTAAATGCTTGGAATTACAAGCCTTTACCACCATAACTGGTTCCATTGATTTTTGATGAGTTATATTTATGAAGTTGTATCATAGTAATTTTGAATTATATTTCTCTAATGACATCTGCTCAAAAAGCATTAAGGCAGCATAGAAGTTGTATTAAACACAACTTTGTAAACCCACAGGCAATTTTCAGGGCTTTATGGAGAACAAGTCTATTCAGACCTTTTGTCCATTTTTAATCCAGTTTCTGGTTAATCTCATCTTTAATCTCGCTAAACCAGATCAATAATTAATTCAAGGTAGTAGAAAAGAAAAAAATGTAGCAACTCCTAACATTTTTCAGTTTTCAATAACATAGTATTGCTTAAATCATTTTCTGTTAACAATTGATACTATATAACTCAATTTAGTTAGACCTGTTACAAGGCTGTAGTTTATTTATTTTGGTTTCTTTCAGTCTCAAGTAGCTCAGATTTCAAACTGAAGAATAAATGGAAGGAAGCAAACAAAAAAAAAATACAGCTCCTCTCATCCGATGATGCCTGTATAAGAATGAGGAAAGAGTTCATCCTTCTAAGGACCTATGATAGGACAACAAAAAAAAAGAATTTATTCTTCTATGTCTTCTTTATCTTTGCGACATAACTTAAATGTTGTAAAACACAATATACTGCTCAGATACTTTTATGTTTTATCAGTTTTGCACATTTTCATATGGATTTCACTTCAGTCTACAACATTCCTTCATCATTTTGTCCCTGATATTTTTACACTATCAAGACATAAGATAACCATTTTGATTTACAGCATAAGAAATTATCCACCTGGCTTCCTTGGAAGCAGAGCATGATCAATAGATATTACTTCTGGTTGCTCACTACATGTAATGGTTTCTGTACTACTTATCACATTCTATTTAGTATTTTAAAAAGATTGCTGGCTAAACTCAAAGCTCATTCCTAGAAGTTTATGTTAAGTGTTTCACAAGTTTCATTCCCTTAATTGTTAAGATAACATTCGCTATAACGCTAATGTTATTACCATTTTAGTGTTGGGAAAAAAATGTAATTAAGGGCAGTAAGTGCATGGCCTAAAGACACACACAGTGAGGAAGGAAATGAGAAAAAGTTTCCAAAAGTCTTTCAGCAATACACAAAATGTAGATAAAATCTCTCCATTCTATGACACTCTCAATTCAATATTCATATTGTCCAAGAAATAATAGCATACTAAATATTGCCCATGGTGATTGTTTTCTGTCACATTTATCTTCAACACAGATTGTGTTGGTGATATTGGTTATCATACACAGAACTGAGCTTATACATTGAGGTCCAAAGAGAGGCAAATTTCTTCTGTCCCACAATTCCAGTATCCTATTTAAAAAGTACTAAAATTTTAAATATCAGCACTTACTGTCTTATAAGTATCCAAAAATTTAAAAATCATAAATAATCACTCCAAAATGCTTTAAAATTGGAGATACTAAAACATGCCCCTCTGAAGTAAATTTTCTTCTACTTTTAACGTTATTCTGAAAACCTTTGCTGGTTTGTCACACCTGTAATCCTAACTACTAGGGGTATCTACTCAGGTGCCTGAGATTTGTGGATAACAGTTGGAAACCAATCAGGGCAAAATAAATTCATGATAATATTTTTCAAAAATTTTAATGAACTAGCAAAGGGCCAAGAATGGAGATGTAGCTCATTTAGTAGCTCACCAATCTAGAGAGAAAAGGCCTAGCAAGACCTTGAAGCTCTGATTTCAAACTCTGAGCACGCCAACACACATGCAAGTGCTTGAGCACATGCGTGCATTCACACACATATTTATTCAAAATACCTTCATATCGGCGTTTTGCATGAATTTCTTTGCTAACGATATTATATGAGTAAAATAAAGGAAATAAACTCTTCCATCTCAGAACATTTTTATAGGTTCATATTGTAAAAATACTGTACAGAGAGGTAACATTTACATGAGCAAGGTAATGAGTAAATTTCCTAAAAAGCATTGTTACCTCCTCCTTTATTGTTCCCCTACCATCCCTTCCCTCCCACCTCCACAAGTCCATTAACCTCCTCCCTTTCCCCCCTCAATTGTAAAGTTCACTTTACAAAATAGTTTCTTGTGCATCTCATTGTTACAATGTGTCAACCTGTATCCTTATTTAAGCATTTTGTTTTTTTTTTCCTTCTCCTCAGCAAATTAGAGGAGGAGAGTATATAAAAGATGTAGGCGCAACAACTTCAAATACAGTGAAACAGGTGTAGCATGGGGGAGGAACATATAAAGAAACAAAAAAACACATACTGTACGTTATAAGTACGTGAGAAACAATAGCAAGAAAAAAACCCACTTTTGTCCCTAACTTGGGGTTCATTTCCGTTAACATAACCTTATCTGGTCATGTACACATAACTTTTGACCTTTTCTGCTTATCTCAGACATATATTAGTTATTGAAAATTAGAGAAACCATGGGACCTATGTTTCTTTGGACTTGGCTTACTTCACTTAATAATTTTTTTCCAAGTCTTTCCATTTCCTGACAAATTGGGCGATGGAATGCTTCAGGAATTTGCCTGTCTTCCTTGCGCAGGGGCCATGTTAATCTCTGTATCTTTCCAATGTTAGTGTATGTGATGCTGGATTGAGCACAGAACATTTTTTTATATATAAATTGTAATTGATTTTCTTAAACTAGACAATTCAACAAAAACTAAGTTTAAAAGAATTGTGAAATTTTAGAAACATGTACTTCTTACATAAGTACATAATTAAGAATAAAGTCAAGATTGACATGTCAAAAACAAAATAATTCCAGATATTTGTTGTTCAAGAGATGTGTAGGAGGAGGAATTCAATTATTCTATACAAGGGACATGTCATAATGAACACTGCAGCAAGTGTTAATGTTTGTTAAAAGTTTTAATGTTTTAAATATATTTAATTTTTGGAATTTGCTTATATATGCCAAAACTGGGACTGTTTGGCAGGTCATAATACTTTTCTATAAAGTATTTAAGATTTATGGTAGCAGATAAATACTACTAAGTATGTCCATTTCAGAGTTTATAGAAACTTTACTGATGCGAAGTTGCAAAGTCTTTCTGTAAAAGGGCAGAATAGAGTTGACTATGTTAACTACACAGTTTCTGTTAAAACTGTAGGCCTTCCTTACTTTTTATGTTAGTGAGGAACAAATGATGATATAAGCCATATACAAATTATGAGGTGAACTATAAATGGTAATCTTAGTGGGTGATTTAAACACTACTTATAGCCTATAAAATTCTTGTGGAACATAATAATCTTAGCCAGTGTTAAATGTAAAGAAATATGACAATAATAAATCTAATTTGTAGTACACTTCAAATACTGGAAACACTGGTAATTGTTTCGTTTTTTATTTTATTAATCATTAATATTTAATTATTGGTTTCCTTTATTTGTAGCATTGTTTTCCTTGTTGTAATATAATACAACTTTTTGTAAGTTGTCATTAGGAGGTATTTTGAGAAGGTTACTGCGATGGCCACACCATTTTTTATAGGTGCATGTGAATTTATAAAGAGGAAAATTAAGAACAAAATATGTATTTAAAAATGATCAAATAGAGTCTGATTCAGGAGTGTTTATAAATGTCCACACCTAAAATATTAGCCCTAGGCTGAAGCAGCGTTATTACAGAATTGAGGTCACAAAAGTGAGAGACAGTGTTTTGTTTTGATTTTATTTTTATTTTGTTGGTCATGGGGCTTGAACTCTGGTGCCTGGATGCTGTCCCTCAGCTCAAGGCTAGTGATACCACTTGAGCCACAGCACCACTTCCATCTTTTTCTGCTTATGTGATACTGAGAAATCAAACCCAAGGCCTCATGCATGCAAGGCAGGCACTCTAACATTGAACCACCTTCCCAGTACCTAAGAGACTGGGTTTTAAAAATCATCTAAACAACCTTTGCTTTCTGCTTTGGGTTATATAATGAAATATATGAGTATCTTTTTATGTTTTTGTGTATTGTCATACTTTTCATATATACTAACTTCACCCACTTTATCCTTGTCAAAGTTATGAAATATCTCTGAGAGTTTGCTTCTGTGAAGATTGTTTTTTTGTTTTTGTTTTGTTTTTTTGGTCAGGTCGTGGGCCTGAACTTTGGGCCTGGGCACTGTCCCTCACCTCTTCAGCTCAAGGCTAAAGTTCTAACACTTGAGACACAGCGCCACTTCTGGCTTTTTTTTTCCTGCTTATGTGGTGCTGAGGAATCGAACCCAGGGCCTCATGCATACAAGGCAAGCGCTCTACCACTGAGCCACCATCCCAGCCCTGTGAAGATTGTTTTTGCATTTATAATTTCTTCTGAGTCATTTTTATTTTTTATCAAAATCACTTTATATTTCATGTTGATGGGTATTTACACAGAGACAGGGATATAGTGGATTAAGTTTACCAAGTGAACATTAAAATTAAACTCAAAAATAAAAATCAGCCTTAACACATATTTTCATATCTTTCCCCACATTCTCCCTAAAAGGAGACAATATTAAGCATGTCTGAGGGAGGCTTTTTAGCTCCAATTTTCTTGAGCTTCCTAGGTTTAGAATTCTTAAATCACAAAGACATGCTGTAATGGGAGTAAGATTTTTTGGTACACTTTGCCCTTCAGAATGTATTTCTTGTTCTTCCCTTTTCTCGACTACATTATTAGACATTCTTCTCAGAGATGACTCCACCTCCAACTTTTCACTCTTCCTAGGTGGACAAATGAATTTGCAAATCAAGACTCTTAGAAAGAATTTAAGAGCCTGAATCTAAGACACTTCTCTCACACACCATCCCTACAAAGACGCAAGTACCAAAGCAGGATACATAGTTTCATTTTTGTCTACCAAGGCCAATTCATGAGGTTGCTTGCTTCTGAGGGTGCCTATTTGTGGCTCTTCCTGATGTTGCAGATTAACTTTATACCTAGTTCCATTATCAGCTACCAAGGATGGCATGTTTAGACCATCCAGGAAGTTGACTCAACAGGGCGGCTGAATGTGTCTCCTATGAGGGGCTCCTAGGATCCCTCATGAATGGCACAGAAGATCTGTGTTGGAAATGCCAGGAGCAATTAAGGTATCCTACAAACACCATCTTAGTATGGCAAAGTTTACACCTGCAGAAGGCATCCTGTTGCATGTCCAAGTTGAATAAGCACAGTGGATAGGCAGCCCAACACTGGCTCCCATGAATTTGAGCTTTGGGATCATCTTTAATGATGGCTCAAACTTTTGATCCCTTTCAAGCCAGTCAAAAGCTTTAATAGTCAACCAAATTCAAACACCTGACCATATGAAAAATAACCACCTTTTACCCAACTGGTGCTCTACTACTAGTGCCATGCCTCTAGCCCCTAGCACTTCTCTAAAATAGCATTGGTAAGGTTTTGACTACCTTTACAAGGCCAGTGCTTATATCAGTCAAGCACTTCAATATTTAACTTCTACAATTCTCCCATCTGATTTTTCTTTCTTTTCTTCCAAACAATAATAATTGACTTTCCTATTCAGCAGTATTCAATAATATATTTTGATTTAAAAAAGGGTTTGATTAGGGCAGTTTTTCAGTCAGTCACTGAACAAAACCGGTTATAGAAGAGATAAAGCACCCATGCACACATTAGTATGAAAACAATTAATAAAGAGGTAAATATTGACACCATGAATCATTGTTAAAATGCTTGCTCTATCATGAAACTAGTAAAGGGTTCTGCCACCACACACAGACACACAACCTTTTTTATAAGTGACTGGGGGCTGGTCTTGGGTTTGATCTCATGCTCTGGGCATTGTCCAAGAGCAGTTTTACTCAAGGCTACCACTTTAGCCACAACTCCAGTAGTATTTTTTTTTTGCACCTTCATTGGAAATAAAAGTCTCATCTTTCCTGTCTGGGTGGGCTTCAAACACATATCCTCAGAATTCAGCCACCTGAGCATTTAGGATTATACTCAGCATCATCTCAGTTTTTAGGTAATTTGTTTCCCGTATTCAATCCTTGTAAGTCTTTCTGTATCATTGGTCTCCAACCACCACACAGATTACCTTTGAAGTATATTTATTCTTTTATTTTTATATATTTATTGTAAAAATACTGTACAGAGGGGTTAGTTACATGAGCAAGGTAAGGCATACATTTCCTATCAAGCATTGTTACCTCCTCCTTTATATGTCCCCTACCATCCTTAACCTCCTAGCTCCAAAACTACCCTATACACTCCCCCCGAACCCCTCCTAAATTGTAAAGTTTGTTTTTTAACAGTGTCTTGTGCATCTCATTGTTACAATGGGTCAACCTGTATTCCCATTTAAGTATTCTGTTTTTTCCCTTTCCCTCCCCAAACTAGAGAAGTGTATATACAAGATGGAGGGCACCAACATCAAAAACATTGGAAAGAGGGATTATGCCATTTTTGGGGGGACAGAGTACAAATAAACAAAAATCACATGGAACATTATAAATATGTTAGAATCAACAGCAAGAAATGAAAAAAACACTTGTGCCCCTATGTTGGGGTTCATTTCATTTATCACAATCTTATCTGGTCAAGTATTATATTTAGACCAATTTTTCCCATGCAATCCTACCAGTGGCTCCTAGTTACTTTTACACGGTGGCATTTCCAATAAACAAATCTTGCTGATAAATAAAAGCACATATTGGAATAATTCAACTATGGAGATCATAGATTGTCGAGAGCAACAGAATAAAACTAATTTAAGCTGCTTTTTCTGGTTTCTAGCTTTAAGCTCTTTGGGAAATTTTCAGATGCTCCTAAGTTAATATGAAATTTGTAAATATGTAGTTTGTATTTGCAAATATAAAGTTTGAATGACCCGCTAACTAAGAAGTCTTTCCTTACTTAATTTAAGGTGTTTGAGAATGGTCAGGTGTGGATTGGGCAATGGAACCAAAGCACAGATTCCAGTCCACTTGGTCAGTAACATCTCCAATAGTGGTCTCCTGTAATACCACCAGACATTTCCCCTGGCTATGATTTGTACTTACTGCTCATCTCAAAGGATTGGCCTTCACTACATCCAGGTAAGTTTCCCAGAAATGTCCAATTTTCTCCAGGTAGTTGACCTGTAAAGAATGGAGCTGATCAGTTTCAGGGGTTTTTGCAATAGGCTCTTGCTTCTGAGACGAGCAACAAGGTGTTCCAAGTTGTCTCGGATCACATTTTGCTGACCTATCATGAATTTCATGCACATGGGTTCTGAGCTCTATGACAGCACAAATAGGACCTCTTGTGTGGCCTCCCTGCCACACAGTCATAGCAGTAGTCCTTTTGTGGACAGAATCACCACAGTATTTACCTCACTTATTCAGTCTCAATTTGAACCTGGGTAGACTCAAAATTGGAAGACATGCCGGGCGCTGGTGGCTCACGCCTGTAATCCTAGCTACTCAGGAGGCTGAGATCTGAGGATCGCGGTTCAAAGCCAGCCCGGGCAGGAGAGACCGTGAGACTCCTATCTCCAATAAAACCACCAGAAACCGGAAGTGGCACTGTAGCTCAAGTGGTAGAGCGCTCGCCTTGAGCTGAAGAGCTGAGGGACAGCGCCCAGGCCCAGAGTTCAAGTCCCACGACCGACAAAAAAAAAAA